AGCAGAAAATTCATGATCTATGAAAATTCACATTGGAATGGGCCATGTAGTGCTATTTATCAAGTCTTAGGGCTGAAATTAATTGAAAATCACATGACCTTTAACCTTCTGAATGCATCTCACTAGCCCTAAAAGTATCATAGATATACTGGGACTTACAAGCATTTGCAAATAAAACCCTCAGCAGAAAACCAAACATGGAATTCACGTGCTAAGACACAGCTACTCCAATAGATCGTGTGGGCAGAGCCAAGGAAGTCAACCGGATATAAGAGAGAATGGAGAAGAATGGCAGAATCAGGTTTTAACCTCCTTAGAAGTACACAGGAAGAGGCAACTTTCCCATGGTTACCCAAAAGTAAGCAACAGTACTGTCTCAGGGCTTCATGCTGCAAAGAGCTGGTCACACACTCCGAGGCCTTATAACCTGATGTATGGAGCGACCCTGGTAACCGTGGCTGTGGGTCCCATTCATAACTGTGCATGCACAAATTTCATTTGGATCATCATCTGTAATCTGGGTCGGGCAGGGATGAAACAATAAAAAAATTGACAGGAGTGATACAGTTGTAACCTACAGATTTTTGCAAGGTAGAAAAGTATCTAATGGACATTCTTCTTCCGAAGATTTCCCCTATGTGGGTGGAAGATAGAAAGGACTTTCTATACAGATATGACATGTACTTCCCCCTCACCTTGCAGCTTATCACTTCATCTCAACTATGTTTATATTCTAGGGGTTTTCTTCCTCTTTTCCTTATGAACAGAATTTCTTTTGGTGATGTTTTCCATACAACCTCAGCAGAAGATATAAGTACTCTATGCCATGTGCCCTGTTTGGCCTGTGCATAACAAGTGCCTTGTTATGTGTTTATTTCTTAAGTATTACAGTATCTAATATCAAACCAAAAAGAGATTATTTTTCTGTGTACATTACCAGGACTCCTCTAGAAAAACAGGAACCCTGCAACTATTAAAATGAGTGGATAGTAGATGATTCCTAACAGAAAATACAATAAAAGCCTATATTTCAGATAATCTTTGACAGCAACACACCTCACATTCTGAAACCAAACTTGAATGCCAAAGTTCCACAATTTACAGGACCTTCAGCCCAGCAGATTAGGATAAAAACTGCCCTAAGAAGGATTATAATCATCAGTCAGATTTGTCAGTAATTACTGTTGTGAATTGAAGTTCTTTAGACATTAGAAAAGCAATGCACTACTTTTGGATCAAAGAGGTATTTTGCAATACATACACAAATTGTCTGTCCTATTAGCACTAAAAGAAGGTATGAACGGCACTGAAGTGTGACCAGACTTCTCAGATGGTTTCAACGTCTGGGAAAAAAAAGCTCAGTAGGTTCATAAATCTAATATCTCCTTTTTATAATAAAACCTAGAGCAGCAATAATTGCAATAAAGTTTTACAAGGCGTCCTGAGAGGAATAAAATACTCACTGTTCTCTGTACCACAGATAAATAAAGCAACATTAGGGTTTTTTTAAAAGTCCATAAGGAATTTGAATTAACAGACTTTGTAAAGGATGCTAGCAAAAGACTTCTGAGGCAGACCCTAATTACTGGCTGCTTTGATTTTAGTGACCTTCTTTATCTTATCTTTCTAAACAGATATTTAAACCAGAAAGTTTCAAATGCCCAGACAGTGTAAAGACTGCTTTGGGTACAAGACTAATGAAGATCAAACTTCTGTAAATTGATCTGTATTGTTTTAGTGTACTTCTTCCATTAATCCCCATTCCTCATAACACAAATTTGACCCCTAATCTCCATGCCCATGTGATTTCAGTGGTAGAGATAAAAGGCCAAGACTTCAGTGCTAGATATAGCCTATAGAGGGAAGCCAAAGGTGGTGACAGTTGTAGTGTGTCTGCAGTTGTTAAGAAGTCTTGCAGAATTTCCACAAGTTGATATTTCTCTCCAAGCATTGCTGATGCCTCTTTAAGCCTTAATTTAGATTGTGCTTTCCAGAGCACGTGAAAAAATAACAGCAGGTAGAGATACAAAACTACCCAGCCTTATGCAATTACTGCTCACAGTGATCAAGCAATCTTGGCAAGAAGCTGATGCTCAGCAAGGCAGCTGGAATACACTAAATCTTCCCCACGTTAAATATGACACAGGGAATTCTTCCAACACTTAGCAGAAACATATTGCTATATACTTTATGAATTGAAACAAAGCAACTAAAGTCAAATGTTCCAAAATATGGTCGTGTGAAGAGTGGACTGCTAAGTCAATGTAAATTAAAATATAAATATTCATACAGTGCTGTACCAGTCACAGACACTTCAACTCTCTAATTCTTATAATTTCTACTCTTCTGTCCTCACTACCATCAAACTCCTAGGTTATAGACCATACAGAAAGGAAGCAAATAATCATCTGACAAGTGCTATATGTTATCTGTCAAATAGAAGTGATTTTGGGGGCTGCTCTACCATAACAGACTTATGTTACACCCACTAAAAGTTATAAAGGGCCTGAATTTGAAATAAGTGTCATGACTTTTTCTTATTTTACAGCCATAATTAACATTAAAATATTCCTGCACTCATGAATGATCTGGTGCAAATCTTAGTACTTTTAGCTTTTCTGCAAATGACTGAACTGCAACCTCAGGCAAATACTCAAATATCAGGGTCTGCAAACATTTGCATACACAAATAAAACATGTATTCTCTCAAAAAGAAAAAAAACTATATTGAAAATTGTGATTATGTTCATAAGATCCATCTTGCCCTGGTTTTCTTCTTTAGCCATACTTTCATTGACCCCTCATCTTGTCTACAGGCAGTCCTAAAGGACTATTCTTGTTCCTCTTCACTTCTCCCTTCTCAGCCTCTCTTTTGAAGTATCATCTGCGAAAAATTTTGATTACTATCACTCTGCTCATAGCTCAAAGACCACCTTTATTCCCAGATCCATCTTCTTCTATCCAAGCTGAAATCTTAGCCTTTCTCATACCTTCTCACCTCAGCTTCAAAGAGATTAAAGCATGTCTCTCACTGCAGAACCACATTCCTCTACCCTTATGGACTTGCCACTTGCTGATATCCCAAACTTCACACTTTGTTTGCTTCTCTTCCTAGGTTTTCTCATCTAAGTGATTTAAAGGCCACCTGTACACAGTGTGGTGAAGGCAGTGCTTAGCTAATTCTGCTTTTCATTTTAGTGGCAGAATTCTGATCCAATTCTTTTCTCAAACCTATGTAGTCACATTACTATGGGATGCTACTCATTTAAATTTAAGCTACCTCAAGAAGTACATCCTGTAAGGCCAGGCACAACTGACTGCTCCAAGTGACTGTCAGATATAAGCTGGAGTAGGTGATTTGGGACCTTGTGACAAGGAAGAGACAGGTTACAACCTTCTGCATCTGGTCGTGTAAGATGCACCCTCAGAGTGGCTGCATAACACAGGTAATCTGTCACATTACATCTCTTCTTCAGCCTCTCAGCATTTCATATTTTGAATATACCGTGTTCTTTAGCATTGCCCCCTACACCTCCCTTTCACCTTTCAGAATGCTGCAGCAGCTACAGCACTCCCACAAGCTTTAACCATGTTGCCTCTGCCTGTATGTCCCACCTGCCTATATGGCCTGCCCTTCTCTCATACATCAAAGAACTGCTCACCATCCCTTTCCAAGCCTTTCATAGCTCACTCCATTCAAACACAAAACCTCAGCTCTCAGCCCTGCCTGAGCTGTGATGTGAACACCTTGTCCAAATATGTACCATCTCTGCTTTTTCCAGTGCTTCCATTTTGTCACGAAGTAGCAGCCCAGGCATCAGAGGTGCCAATAGAGGTGCCAGCCATGGTAGTGTTCCTTGGCCTTCACTGTCCTTTGAGTCTGTCATATTACTACCCCTGGATGGTAGCTGCTCTTTTTCACCCTCTTTTCCTTTCCTGGAGGTCTATATTGCTTACACAACACTGAGTTATGTGCTTATCTTCTGTGTTTCAGGCAACTAACATACCTATTTAATCTACCCAGGAAATTTATAAAATTGCAACCTCCCAAGACAACAAAGTCCTTATCCTAACACTTCATATAACTGTCATCCTACACATACTACAATAAATAACTCCTCTACATTTCTTCATTGGCATTAGAAATCCTCTTCAGCCAATATTGTTAATTTTGCTCACATTTTAAAATGGAGGCTGTTCTTTCTGTACAGCTTATTCTCTATTTCATCTCCTACAGCTCTATTCCAATCCCACTGAACAAGCCAAACACAACTGGTTTTGACCATTTACCAGCTAAGGGGTAGATGGGAAGATCTTTCACAACTGCTTTCCTGCGCCACCTGAGATGTTGAGCTTCCTTCACACATCTGAGGTACGTGTCACAAACACATTGTCCTGGCCTCCTAAGTATCCTGTATTTCATCTACTTCATCCTTCACTTCTCCTTGCGGCATCTTTCATTGCCTTCTCAAGCTTCCTCACTCTTTTGGTACTTCTTTTTCCCTTGAACCCATCTTGTTTGCCCAACAGTGCCACAGGGCAACAGGGAACACAAACAATTTATAGTTAAACATTTATATCTGTGTCTTCCTTGTGCATCCCCAATACCATACAAACATATACATACAAGCACTGTGTCAATACCACTGTTGTTCCGTAATAACAGGGCTAATTTTGTGAAGTTATAAATCACAATTCAAGCATTCATAAGATTCCTTTTATCCTTTCCACCGATCTGTGGCATGCATTGGTAACATATCCACACCAGCATTTTATTTTTGTCTAGCTGCAAAGAGTATAATCTGTTGATTACAGTGGATTACCACTTCTCTGCATCCTTAATTTGATTATGGTAATCATAATGTAGTAATCAGCTGTGTGATCATCTCTTCCATCAAGGAAGAGGGAAGTGCAGAATAGCAATCTACACTTGAAAAAGGGAGGAAAAACTTTCATTTTCTATGAGTAAAACTATTAAAAAGGTAGGAATGACTTCTGACCTTTAGCCTGCGGTCCTGGTCTCCACTGCACAGAGAATTTACAGACACTTTGAAGGTCTTCCATGCTGGATTTAAGTTATTCATCACAACCTGTGAGTGAAAATAAAAAAGGGACACATTAACATTTCTACATCTCCAAAACGAATGCTAACAAGAGCCACAATTTTCAATACAATACATTAACCAGAAAGAGAAAGAAAGCAGAGCTCAGCTGGAGTTTTCAGAACAACATGCACAGAATATGTGTCCTTGAGCAACCCATAGTTTGAAACACTCCTCTGGAAAGCCCCCAAAAGGAGCACAGGTAGGAATTAGACTCATAGTTCCCTGCATATATCATGTGTAGATCATGATGAAGAAATTGCTCCAGCACTGCCATGCCTCAGCAGGAGTGTAACTCACAAGGGACAGGTTGTAGAACTGAACTGGAAGCCATGGAAGAGATGCAGGAGTAGGCAACAGGGATGGGCAACATCAATTACAGGCACATTGGTTTGCCTAGCTAGAAAGACTTTATGGAATCCATAACAGGCTTATAAACCCAAATACCCACCACAGCTCCATCCTGTACACATAAATGCTGCCTTTTAAGATAATGCCAGTCATTAGCAGGGAAGCAGTAATGTCACTAGGACACAAGAAACAAATGTAAAGCACTCAGATTACAAATGTCTTTAGCACCAGCACTCTGGGAGGAGGTGGAGAAGATGCAACATAGCATTAGTGGGAAAATATGATACTATCTGTAGCATGGTTTTGGCTAAATATCATATCTGTAACTATGGACCTTCAAACAGAGTATCTGCCAATTTAATTAAATTTGGACCTTTGGTTTCAGTATCTTCTGCCTTTACTGTAAGACACATAAATCAAGACCTGATACCCACTAGTTAATACTTACACTAGAGTGTAACACTGGGAAGTGTTTTTAAACGTGAGTGTTTGCAATAACATTTGCGATATGGGAGGCATAAACTATTCCTCCTGACAGCCCATCTATGTCCTTGGTGAGTAAATCCAACTCTATCCCTTACCTCAGTTCTATGAACAAGTTGCTGGGTTGCATCATCATTCACGCGAAAAATCTCCAGGAAAGGATCAGATTTGCTGAAAAAATCCTAAAATAAAATATAGAACAGGTTACTCTCGACGATTCTTTTTCTTTGAATTTTGCAGGCACAACGCACTGGTGCTTCCCTGACTCCTAATGACAAAGGAGAGCCAGCATAGTTTTAGAGAGACCTCTTGGTGTCTCTCAGCAATGTTTCATTCTTGTCTTTGTCCACAAGGATTTCTGTGGCACCGTTGTTGTACCCAGTTTGACTATTTAATCATAGCATGCAGAATGGTAAAACGTCCTTTTCCCTTCTTACACCTAGTCCAGATTCCTGAGCTTTAGCCCCTTCATTCAGGTAGCTTGTTTCTTTCTGTCTCCATACCTGTTTGGTCTTTTAACATCAGTTTTATGATGTATTGAACTTTGAAGCTTATTCTACAGTGGGGTTGAATTTCACACTATTCACCCACCCTCTCAAAATATGAGTTAATTGGCCAAGACATTGTGTGCTACCAACTGTCAAGACAGATAGAGATGGTTAGAGAAGCAAGATCTCTTTAGGATGTGATAACATGGTCTGTGCTAAGACGACAAACAGAGAGGGGGAATGCAGAAAATAACTTGATATCTCTAAGTACAAGCAAATCTGTGACAGAAAACTGAGGTTCATATTCATATACCCACTGCACTGCAGAACACCTTCCCCTAGTCTTGCATTCAGCTAACAATCCTGAACTGTCTTACACAAACCTAAATTAAGTTGCTTTCTATAGCGCTGCTGCAGTTTGGCCAGAGACACTTTTGTTTCAACATCTCATTTATTCTGGACATGCTGGTGCAGAGGCAGAAGAGTGGCTGGGTGTTAACCCTCCACAGCTGGAGGGGGAAGCTTCAAATTTCTAACTGTGCAATGCTGAAAGAGCAGGATTTAAATGGACTAAGCCTTATTTCCTGTAGTTTCAAGTACTTTCTTAATTTTTCTCTTCAAAAGAGCACATGATTAACTTGTGCATAAGAATATCATTCTTCTCTGTAGGCCATATCCAAAACCACAGACCTCCATGTCAACTTGGGGAAATGAGAAATTCTGTTTGCTCTCCAAGTGTTTCTAGAATAGTGGTAGTGTAAAAATTATTGTAATACATACAGTTCTACAAATTTCTCATCATAAATGTCCACCACACTTATTTTTTACTGGCTGGATAGCCATTGGGATGGGAAGAGCTTTGGATAAGATACTAGCCAAAGTCTGGGCACACCACTTTGGTCAAATTTATCTTTAGGGCATTTTCACAATTCTGCAACTACAAAATAAACAAACAAATCAGGGCTTTGAAAAGAGACACCTGAATTTGAATGTCTGGAGAAAGAAGTAAGTCCCTAGGGACCACGAAGCCTTGGGCAAGGCTCAAACAACCTAAAGTCTTGTCATGCCCTAAAAATGACATAATGTGTTCAGAGTGCTGTTCTGTCAATGGACTGTTTCTTTACCTCCTAACGAAAAGTTAACAGCATGTTCAGGAACTGATGCAAAGCACGTGAATATGCATTTGTTAAACCTTATCATGGGGAGCACAAAACAACAAAGCTGTATTTTTACCTATTTGTTCCAATTACACGGTAAACAGGACATTCTATTTTAAAGTGTGTAAAACCAGTGCAAAACCCAACAAAGTCTGTAACTCCAAGGTTTGCCTCAAGGCCCTGATATACATTTAGTATCTGGACTCCACTCAGCACTTGAAACTGCTAGTATATACAGGATTTACTGCCAGATTACCAGTGCATAGCAAAGAGAACAAGCAGAGAGTGAGGATGCTGGTTGAATCACAGTGACACTAAAATCTACAGTCCATAGGGCTAAAAAAGATTGAGCTGCCTCTTCTCACACATAGGTATACTGACTGAAGCTGAGTAAAAGCTTAATATTAGCAGCTTTTTTATCAAACATGAATTTGATAAGTTATTTGAAAGAAAACACCTCAAAATGATACATCCAAAGATTGCACCCTGGAGTGCAGAAGAATTCAGAAAGGAACCCAAAATTTCATATAAGACTCAAAATATAGTATCTTTCCCAGCTGAGTATCATAAAGCTGTAACAGTATCAGCACAAGGGAAGTAATTTTCAATATCTGGTTTTAACTATCAAGGTAATACCACATAAACGGAAAGATTTTAATGCTGGATGATGGTTTATATCATTCCCCCTTTAATGCAAAAACAAAGCCTAATTCCTTTCAGAATTAAGGTACAAATAAAAAATCCTTGTATATTGAAGAAGCTTTGTGGTAAGTAAAAAATGACAAGCTGAAGAAACATTTGCTTTCATAGCTATTAACATTTTCAAAGCTTTTTGATTATTATGCTGCATCTAACAGTTTTGCATTATCTCAAAAGAATATCCTCTGAAATGAGAATAGCAGCAATATAATGTTGTGCTATTTTAATAATATATAAATGATTAATATAATTCATTTGCTAGTGGTATAATGCATGTTGTTCTTTCAGCATGTGCAGCAGTCACACAGTAATAACACATGTACAGAGCTTAACCTTTAAAATTTTATCTACCTCTGCTTCTAAGCACCTAGTTTGATACATATTTTAGAGATTAATTTTCAGAGCATGACATGTTTTAGAATTCAGGTTTGGGGATTAAGGCAATGGTCCCTCAAAAAAGGGCTGAAATAGCCAAAAGACTAAAATTTTGAAAATTCTTCAGCAGCAAGAGAGGGCATTTGAGGATGTTTTTGAGAGAGTAGTTTAATACTGGGGAACTATATAAAAAAGCAATATTAGCTTGTATTTTGCAGACATTTGCTGGGGAATCTTTCCCAAAAAATAACTGTCTCTCACAGACTAGGAAAAGCAGTTTGCCTGCCTCAGTGCTCATAATTTATTATAGCTATCATAAAAAACATAGCTACTTGTTATGGTAATTTTGACACAGCTATTAATGCAATAGAACCTTCCCAAAAGTTATTGTTCCACTGTGAATTGTTCTCAATGGAAATCTTGAAACAAAGATGTGCCATCTGAGCTGACAGGGCTTCAATAAAACATGAAAATGCAGTAATATCTTCCAAACAAGCACTGCAATAAAAAATATAACCTTTATCTCTGCAAAGTCAGTTAACTAAAGGAAAGTTTCATACCTGTCACTTTCCAATAATTTTTCACTGAACGTTTTAGCCATCTCTCCAGGAAAAAATGAGCAGGCTTTACTTGTTTTGTAGCTTCTCTAAGATTCTTGCAGTTTTAAGCGGAGAGAGTAAAAGACCCTCAACAAACATATCCTGTCTGTTAAATTATACCAACGGATTTTGTTAAATCTTAAAAAAACTAACAATTGTTCACATATTTTTCCTTAGTGGAGGAAATGTATACATTTAAGGACCACAATCTAGATCCTCTTTCAAGGAGCTCTCCTTTAAAGGATGAAGGAAGGAAATTCCTGTCCATTCAATGTACCACTGATGGTGACGGATAGAAAGAATTTATTTTGTTTTATCCTGAAAGCACATACACGACATGTCCCCAACCCTTCCTTTATCCACAAGTTGTAGGATGTTAGGATTCTACTTGTCTTCTGCCACTCCCATAGCTACCAGTGCAGGAACCCCACGGCTTACAAAAATGACCTTGTAGCAGAGCATGAATGACTTCCAGAGGCATCCTCTGTCATTCGGGAGAATCCAAGGCCATTTCCAGCCCTCAGGTTGTTTCTCTGACATTACATCTCTACTCAGGTGTTCACTTCTATGAGTAGGGAGAAGCATGCAAAACCATGCTTAGTATTTTACAAAATGGGCTCTTCTCAATTCTTTGATTTTTGTTTTGGTTTGGGTTTTTTTTACCTTTTTTACCTTTATGCGACTCATTCTTTTTCAACAGTGGCTGAACTATGCAATTTAAGCAATTTCAAACCTTAATAACAATAATTACTAATAGTGCCTTGCATCTACTGATTTCGAAGTTCATTATAAGCCATACCAAAAGCTTTCTTATAGAAGAGGTGAGCCGATGTTCAGCAAGGTTTAGAGCTACATCTGTAGCTGGAGCAAATTGAAGACTTTCAACTGCAACAGGCTTCCAGTGATTTTCATCAGTTGAAGACAAGAGTTCTGATTCAGATAATACACAATGTGTCATTGCTTGAGTTGCACATTGCAACATCTGGGAATTGCTATTAGATGAAGCCCACCTTTACTGGACATGTTAAAATTGCAAGAACAACAATATTATTGCAATATCGATCCTTCTCCTTATCCCCATAAAGTGTTTTAACCACTCCCTAAAGCTCTTGCTCAAGCAACACTGACCTGGCTCAGAACTGCATTCTAGCAGTATACTTTTAATTTATACCAACAAGACCCATAAGCAATCATAATATTTACAGCAGATTACATTTTACATTTGTGGAAAAGCAATGGCCAAGTGGAATCTTATGTTGTATATGTCCTCTCCTTTTTTTAGATGTGACAACATGTGGAACAGTAAGAAACTTGAGTACAAGTTTGGAAATCACCTCTAAAGATGTCTGTCTAAAGAGAGGTTGTTAAATCTATATTTTGACACGTAAATAAACCACGCAGTTCAAACCCAGTAAGACTCCAGCAAGTTTGAAAGAAGAAGGTAATTCTTCTTTCAGATGAGAAGCAAAATCAGGTCCTGATCATTTATGATTGCTAATGATCCTGAACACAGTAAAGTTATTTACCTGTATGTTCTAAATAAATTTCAGTACTATCAATCTTTCTGTGTACCTTCTGCTTGCCTGAGATTTTCCAGTACTATAAACCAAAAATATTTTTCATAAGCTACAACTTCATCTTGAAAACCTGATTTATGTATCCAAAAGTAGTCTCACTGATTTGATTTTAAGGTACTCACATGTCAAACGTTTACAAGAACACACTTGGAGCATCACAATCCTAAACCTTTGTACAGTGTTACCATATGCTTCTAATTAGAAGCACCTTCATATATAAGAAGGGAATACATACCTCAAATAATTGTATGTCTGCTATTACACTGAAATAACAGAGGGTAGCTTACAAGCAGTCATCTGGATTTCTTGGGCTGCAAGTTGCTTGAGACGCTTATTATTAATAAATTGCTAAACAACAAAAGAAATTTTCAGAAAGAGGTACTCATGATAATCCTGAGTGATAGTTGAGTAAGTGGAGAGTTTTCTTAGTAAAGAGGGACAAATTTTTTAACAGATATGCAAGAATCTATTTCTCATATTCAAGCTACATTTTGTTGAACAAAATGTCTATCATGACACTGCTGTTATGAAGTCTTCTAGCTTTATTTTAGAACACTTCAATGATATCATCTTAGACTACTTACAGAAAGTTCACTTCTCTAAGCACTTCTGATCTGTGGCATTTTACATAATTAAATTGTCTTGGTTGTAGTGTAATTAACTTGTCTTGGTTTTAATTAGATTCCCTTGAGTTTGTTTTTTTTTAATTACTTTGCAACTTGAGGAAAGCCTCATTGTGAACATTCATCTGAAAACCCTGATGTGTTTAATAACATAAGGCCAAGAATATCTGTCTGGGAAAATCTCATCAAATTGTATTTGCAGGCATTCTTATTCCTTTCGGTAAGGTTAATATCAAGCAGCTTACCTTGTCATCCAATTTCCGTGCACTGAATGAAAGTTCAACGTAGTCATCGTTGCCAGACAATTCCTCAGCGATCACCTAAATGGAAAGCTACATTTGAGCTTTGCATGGTGTAATGAAAGGGGAGAATGATGTCATTTTTCAGTGTGAAGACTGTAGACCCCATTTAGGAAAGTGAAGTGTGGTACAAGTTAATATGATTCTCTTTGTCATCAGGAAGGGCTGAGGGCATTCAGCAAATCCCACCCTCAGCTGATGGATGTCACCTTGTTAAGCCCACAAACCTGAATCACTTTGTGTCATACAACTATGCCTTGTCAATCACCTGTCAATGGAGAGACATGAACATCTATCAGGGATCCCTTTTCTCTGACCAAGTACTTCTCAGATTGGACAATGGAGAATTCTACAGTCTCACAGTGTCCAAGGGGACAAAAATGCTATACAAGACTTGTATTATATGGGTCTAAAGCCCACTTATTTTTATGGTGCTTCAGCATCATTTGGCAAGCTAAATGGGAAAAGGAGTGAAGTCACTTGTCCTTAGTTGTCATGAAAGCCACATCTACAGTAGGAGAGTTCTGGTATGTATAGTTTTTCTGCAATAACTACATTGGCGAAACCATTTATTGTAGAGTGAGTCAGAAGAAAGTAATACTAAAATATTATAGTGTGATTCTTTCAGATGGTGTAAGCTATGCTGATAATGATGTCAGCCACTGTGCTGTGTAACATTAAAAACCAAACCAAAGCAAAACATAACCAACCAAAACAGCCTTCCTGAGTAAGACATTAAAATGCTTCAGGGGAGAGAATGTGTTAAGCAAACCTGGGATACTTCACTGAAAAATGTTCTTTGAAACAGACCATATTATATTCTATTTGACAGCTATAAAACCTTTTCCCTATTGTGAATATTCTCCCCAGAGATTAAATCTCCCCAAACCCCAATTTTCTCGGTGTTTCATGTCCATGGCCACACACCTGGCAGCCATGTCAGGTCCCCAGCCAGGCTCTGACTGTCTCCACTGCAAGGACTCAAAGTCCTCGGGGAACCACTGGGACACCCCAACTATTCTTCAAACCAGCTTGGCAGCTGGCAGCAGCTATTAACTGCACCCCAAAACAGAGGGTTTTGGGGTCCCAAATATGGGGTCCTCATCAGAGGTGCACATATTTCAGGAAGGGCAGCAGCTGCCAGAAGCAAGAGACACAAAGGAAGGAGAGGTAGGAGGTGTCAGAGGCCACCCTAAAGAAGATCCAGGAGGAGGCATGGAGAAGAGGACTCTGTTGGGAACACAGCTGGAAATTCAGTCTCGGAAGGATGAGCTCCATTCTGGAGGAGGCACCTCTGAGAGTGGACTCCCACAGATAAGCCTACACTGGAGCAGACGTCCTTGAAGGGATTGTGGCATATGTGTAAGCTCAGAGCAGAGCTGAGAAAATGAGTGAAAAACAAAGAGCAGCAAAAAAAAAACCCCACTGTTTTCTGATCCTGACCTGTGCCACCTCACCAAAGGGATTGAGCACAACGTGCAATGAAGGCAAAGGGAATGGAGACTATGAGGAGGCAGGAGAGGTGTCTGAAGTCGATCACAAGGAAGGGGAAGGAAAGGTATTTTCCCTAAGAGGTTTTTTTTTTCTTATTTGTTTCTCAGTACCCGAATCAGTAGAAGCTTATGCTGATTGGCAAAAAAATAAATTAAGTAAAATTCCCTGAGTTGAGACTATTCTGGCTGGGACACCTCACAGCAGTGAGCTGTGGTGCTTCTCCGTGCAAAATATTTACATGCAGCCTCTTCCAGGCAAACTTGAGCTTGCTGGAAATTTGGCCTGTAGAGTTTGACACATTTCTCTTCCATGTAGTCTGATGGTTTAAAAGATATAGTTAAGCTGTATAGGACCAACAGTGCTGTGGGATTTGTACACCAAGTTTCACAAATACTTTTAACTGAAAATAATGAACCTGCTCTTATGAAGTTTGACATACTTCTAACTGCAGAAGCTGAACTATGTTCTTTTGCACCCACAGCCATATTATAAAATTGTGTGGATGAGACATTACACAGTCAAAGGGCTAATAAAATTTCAGTAAAATATGCCAAGACAGGACCTTTCAAAATCCTATGAAAAACTCACAGTTCAGTAAACTGAACAAGTTAGGAAATTAGTATGTGTAACTTCCATGCTTGACAGTATGTCCCCAGGTCTAGAAATAATGATAAATAATCTGGTTTTACTTATTCTGTTGAGACACCAAAGTTTTCACACAATATTTTTTGTCTGTGTTCAGTTTCTCCCATTTGAGTGAAGTCAACTTGCTCTTTAGTACTGCTGGTGAGAAGCCAAGGTCCCATATTTCATGGTTATCATCCAGTGTTAGGCCAGCAGGGACTATTTTCTCTCATCTTCTGTTTATTACAGTGATTTAATTTTTGCCAGAACACTCCACTAACAAGCCTAATGATTTAGTTGTACTAGAGCATTTGTGTTTTCACAAGACTAAACTTCTTTTTGTTCCTTAAAGAACAGGAGCGGAGTCCAGACCACCACAGGGATGGATGAGATTAAGTATGCCCAGATACGACCCAGCAGCCAGACTACACCAAATTATTTAGGGAGCAAAACTCTCTCCTGGTTCTATTCAGCCAGAGGAGTGGGGAATTCCTTTCCAACCTCAGATCAAAAATGAATTTACTGTATGCATTTAAGCAAATTCATTTGCAGCCAAGCACCAAGAAAGATATCTAAGAAATAAAACCTCCTGGGCCCTCTGAAAGCATTATTTCTCACAGTCTTCTGTCTCTTCTGTGGTCCAAGGTAGAAAACAAATCCAAGCAATCAAGTCAAAGGAAACCCATCTGGCTTACTGCACATCAAGGGAAAAAATACTTCTCAACTCCGAGAGGCAACAGAGCAGAGATCCCCAAAGCAGAATATTTTATTATAGCTTTTGTCTTAATGCAGAGCTGCAAATGTCACATGCATGCAAGGTTCAGTGCAGACAAGATTGATCTCCCAAACAAACTAGCACAGAGAAGGATGAGATAGAGGTAATACACTGATTTGCAGATTTCAAGATACACACGGAGGTATAACAATACAGCCCATAATTGCACTACCACACAGCTAAAACTAGTCTCACCAAACTTTGGAAGTTGCTGGGTGCATGTGTGTACTTTCTAAGTTTGGGTTTTTTTAATTTTTTCCCCCCCCTTTTTTTTCCTAAGAACCTGGAAAAAATCCAAGTGAAAATAAACATTAAGCTCCTTCATGTGTCAAAGCAGGTCAAATGAATTTCTGAATGTTCTAGTTCTTCAACTACAAGTATTCAAGCAGCACAAGTTTCTTGCTGTCATCTAATTACCTTAAAAGTGGTAGTAGTAGTAGTAAATATTGTGGCTTTTGTACAAATCATACATTATTTGTTGCCATTTCCTTACATCAAACCTTTAGCAGAAACAGTACAAGTAATCAAATAAACAACTGAAATACATTTCTCAATCAAGGGCTGTTCTGGTGACTTAGCAGGATGCTTTTAGGGAAGAATTAGTCACATCAGATGTTTCTAAATAACAGGAAAACAAGAGTGTATTTAAGATTGACTTACTGTTATAGATGACTTTCCTGCTGTGTTGCCATGTTTGAGTAGGGACTTGGAGAGTTTCCTCTGAGAAACAATCTGCACAAAAATAAAAACAAAGGGGAAAATAATTAGAATCTGTAGTAAATACATGCTTTATTGTGATTTCATTTTTTGCTTCTGTATCGAGCGCGTTTCTCAATTCACAATCAGTTAGCACAGTAAGACCACGATTGAGAAGAAAAGTTTCCCAGGAAGCCTGCAGACAGGATGCAATGGAAGATAAAAACAAACGGTTGGGATCAAGCAGAATGAGGAGGACACAATTCACAGAGTTGAACAGAACAGTGAAAAAGACATTATAGATTTTCCTCCAGTATTGCAGTGACGGTGACAGAGCACAGAGGTAAGGTTTAAACATACTTAAAAGACAATAAGAAGGGAGAATCTACAGAGATACCTCCAAACTAACTTATTTTTATAGGAAACTGAAATCTGTTTACAAAGAGAAGGCATTTATTTTATTTCAAAATATCAACAACTCTAAATTCAGGACAGAAGCAAGCAATCTGCCCCACAGTTTTAGTTCCAAAATTGTCTTCTTTGCTTACCAGGTACTGGACCTCCCGTAGAACTCAGCATTACAAATGAACTTGTTCATTAACAAAATCATAAATGAACTTCAAATAAATGTTATCAGAGTGATACTGACAAAAGATGTTATTTGCCATATCAGTAATAACTAAAATTCCCTTATAATTTTGAAACATTTAAAACTAGATAAATAAAAATATAATAGCACAATTGCTAGGCTACAGTGATGTTCCAGCATATTAAGTCCCTCTTCTTTGTAAACTTAATGCTGTATCAATTTATTTTTAATTGGAAAACTTCAAAATGTAGACAGATGTTAAAGTAGCTCAAAACACAGTTTAGAAATCACAATATTATTTTTAATGTGACAAAACTGTAGTAGGATTGTGCTGTGCAGATACTGAGAAAAGATTGCTGTGTCCTAGGAGAAACCCTAGCCTCTTGAAAGTTGTTTTTATGTTAGAAATAGTCCTTTCCACATCCAACATTACTTGAACAACTTCATAGGATAAACATGTTTGGCAAAATATGCCTGGGCATCATACACATTTCAGCAACAAAGCACATTGGTAGGTAATGGCCAGAGCTGGAGGAGTGAGTAATGCAAAGTTGCAGCCAGGCAAAAAAAAGGGCTGTGAGACAGGAGTGATTTTAGCCTGATATCACCACATGGAAACATGTTTGTCCTGCCCATCAGTTTGCTGAATTGAACAGAAAAGCAAAGGCAGCACCTCAGATTACCCTCAGCTACTATTTTGATGGAAGTAGCAAGACAGAAGCAAGTTTTAAACAGGCTTTAAATATGAGATAGGAGAACCATCACAGGCCTGGACAGCACATCCAGAATCACTGTGTCCAGCTTCTCATTTCTACTGCAGCTATACCTGGCAGATGTGTGTCTAATTAGAGGCAGAGGGAAATACCCTCTTCTGGAAATTTATTACTCTATTCATTATCCTTACTGTAAATATATTTTCCTAACAGCTAATCCAATTCTCTGCAGTTTAAGTCCATTATTTCCACCTAACGCACCATGAATAAGCAAAATAATCTTTTCCCCTTTGTCCTTCAGGCAATCTTTATATCTGAAGACTCTCCATAGTCTTCTTTACTACAGAACCTGAGTTTGTCCTATCTTTCCTTTTTGACCAAACTTTGTAGCCCTCAAACCATTCTCTCTGTTCTCTGATGAGCCTTCATGGACTGGCCCATAGACACTCTTACAATAATGCTAAAAATTGTGCATAATAGCCCTGGTCCTTCCTATGCAAGAAGAGCTTCTCATTTCAAGGTTGACGCACTTCAGAATTGCATTTGACTTACTTAAAGAACACTATGATACTGTTAACTAATGATTATTTTTTGACCATTTTGCATTGCCAGCTGTTTCTTACCCTGCATTTTTACACCTGGCTATTACTTAAGTGAATAATTTAACACTCCTTTTTGGATTGCCTTCCATAAAGCAGTTTGCTGCCATCATCTCACTCAGTTTTCCAAATTAACTTTTGGATTTCAACACTAGTGTTGATCAGTGGTACCAACAGACAGAAGTACAAGTAAGATTACAAGTACTGCCAGGATTCAGAAGCTGTTTTTCTTCCCTAGCATCTTGGAAATACTGTTTGCTGTGACCACTTAAGTTGCCCATACATAAGTTGTACATTCAAGTACAAACCATTGTACTCCGGTGAACAATGAGGTGCAATTTAAAAAACTTTGTTTGAGATTCTCAGATGGCAGGTAATACAGAAATGTGACAGATTATTCTTAATATATTATTAAACTATGGGTTGTGTACCAACTAGACAATGAATTATGGCAGCTGGGGAGCAGAGCCCATTCATCTCTGTGGTCTCTCCTCCTTTCCCCAGATGCACAGACAACTTTGTAAAATACATGAAGTTTTTCCACTGAAAGCTGTGGGTATTTCTACCAGAAGCTTTTTCAGATATCTTATATGTATATATGGCCATGGCATGAGATAGAACTTGGATGGGAACCTGCCCTTCAGCTAGCCTCCTTTAGAGATAGCAGGACTTTCCCTCCCCTAAACTACCCAAATATTTACAGCTCCCTTTGCAGCTTTCAAAAGGGTCACAGCTTTCAAGAGACAGAGGCTGAAGCTCAGGAGCTCCTATGCAGGTGGCGGATAGATGGCTTGCAGTTCCAGAGAAGATAATTTATTCTGACATTCTCATTAGTAGACCGCATTAATAACACTCACTCTCTAAGCCATTAGCATCACTGTGACACAGTAAGCACTCTGCACATGTAAATATGTGTATTTGGGTGCAACCGTTTACCAGTTGTTAATTAAGTGGCCAGTAAAATGAATCCTCCATCTGGCAACAATGTGCCAACACTGTTGCCTCAAACTGTCATTGCAAAAACTGTCAAGGAAGCAGTAGCAGTAAATTGCTGTTTTTGTTCATGCACTGTACAGACCAGGTCTCCTTATTAAAAGAACCATTTCTATGGAAGCCATCAATTATATATCATATTATTTGTTAATGTATCAATGTAAAACTTCTTCTGAACATTGTCATAAAAAGCATTTTGTGACCTGACTGGCAGAGAGCAAGTACTAAACAACGATAACTTGAGGGCTAGGAAGCATTAATCTAAGTTCAGAGTTACAGTGATGGCTGAACTGGCAAGATGTCTTACAAGAATTTAATTTACTACAGGTCTTTCATTTGTCAGGAGTCTTTGGTTTGACTCCGATTTCAAAAACTCGCAAATTAAAACTTCAGCTTCAGAGAAAAAAGGGTTTTGTCCAAAAGTGAAGTGTAGAAGTTCTTTCTAAAACACAAATGGTAGAATCCAGTTCAGCCCTAGTAAACCTCATTACATTTCCAGAACATGTATTTTCATGAACATTTTATTAGAAACATGACCAACCAGTGAACAAATGGATGTAGAAACCTGTCCTACTTGAGGGTGGAATAGTTACTTTTCTCCTTAGTATCCGGTATAGCACTGTGTTTTGGATTCAGTATGAGAATAATGTTGATAAAAAACTGATGTTTTCATTGTTGCTAAGTAGTGCTTACCCTAAATCAAGGACTTTTCGGTTTACCATGCTTTGCCAGTGAGGAGGTGCACAAAAAACCAGGAGGGAGGCTAGCCAGGCCAGCTGATCTGAACTTGCCACAGTGATATTTCATAGCATAGAACACCCTGTATACAGAGTATGATACTTCACACCATAGAACATTTCCCTATATAAACTGGGAAGAGTTGGCTGAGAGCTGTCAATCACTGCTAAGGAATGGGATGGGCATCAGTCAGCAGGTGGTGGGTATTTGTATTATGCATCTCCTGTTTCTCTTGGGTTTTATTTTTCTCTTTCTCTCCTTTTAATTACAGCTAATATTATTGTAATAATAATATCTTAATTTTTTTAATTATTAAACTGCTCTTATCTCAATCCATAATGTTTACCTTTTTTTTCTGATTCTCTTCCCCACTGGGGCAGGGACAGGGCAAGGTGGGTGTGAGCAAGTGGCTGCATGGTGTTTAGTTGACAGCTGGGGTTAAAACACAGCAGTCCTTTTTGGTGCTCAGTGTGGGGCTCTTAAAATAAGACCTCAGAGATTTCAGAGGTGAGACTAAGAGAAGTGAAGTTTATTTGCAGCTACAGACACATACAAACTACTACCCAGTTCTGGTCTAAGAGTGCCACATGTCCAATAAAACATATCATACTGAATATGTTTGCAAGGTGTGGAAGTAGAACAGAATGTAAAAGCCACTGCTCTGTTTCTGAGAAGGATGTGCACATTAAGTTATTCCTATTTACCAAATACGCAATCATTGCAACAGAACATCATCTTGATTAGTTTTCTGATCTCTGGTGCTAAGGGCTATCAGCTCTGTGGTAAGATGGGGGTGGGAAATTCCCTTAAAGATGATCTTAATTTGCCTTATTACAGGCAAGCCTACATAGGTTAAGGACAGGTCTGGACAGATGCTCAATATTGCTGTAATGAAATCTGGATTCACATCACCATTTGATCTTATTTCCAATTTAAAATATATAAAAGATGCTTTGCTTTTTTATTATTATTTTAAAAGTATAAACAGATGCAAGACTCTCGATAAAAGTACCAAGGCGCTGACACCAGCTGTGTACCATGCACTGCTCAGCAGTGACTCAGAGACAAGGACTCTGATGAAGGTTTGCTCTCTCCTATGCCTGAGTCGTGACTAATCAGCACTGTGTAAGATGAGCTGTGAAATGTAATGACCCATTTTACCTGGTTTGTTTAAGAAACTTTTAAAATATATTTCTCTATGTGGTCCTTTCTTAACCAAATATAGGGATGAGTTTCAGTAATATCATACAGAATTCCCAATGTTCATAAATCAAGCTAATGAGAAGATTTCAATTTAGTTTTTTAACCAAATTATTTGAAAAGCATTGATTCGGCTTTGCAAGGTGACAGAAGTCAAGTGTCTCAAATTCTTTACTGGGACTGGCCTCTTCTGCATACTGGACT